GGAACGTCCCCCTTAAGGACTGTGTAATTTTTTTTCTGTGAAACAAAAGTTAAATGTGTTCAGAAAAGTTATCATAGTTTTACTGACAATGACATAAATTATAAACAAAGTATGAAAAATTTCCAGAGTTTTCATGTTGTTAGATTTTTAACAAAAATTAAATTTAACCAAGGGGGTGTTTTACGCCACCTATGGGGCAAAACTCCCCTATGGGTGGGGTAAAATGCCCCCCAGTCTGACAAAGCAATTTGCTTTAAACATTTACAGCAAAATCAGAGTACAGACAGTTTTTGCTTAAAATTAAAAAGAATAATCAATAATTATGAATTACAAATTTACAACAGCATATTTGAAACATTTTGTTAGCTAATGCTAACTGGCTAGCTAACTAGCTGATGCTAACTTGAGGTAATTTTTAAATGTAAAAGCCAAATATTTTTATTCAAAGTTAGAATACATTTGATGGAAAACAAAGGATTCGATGTTCAGAACAGAATAACTACAGTAGCCTAATTGCTCTTGCCCCCTGGGGGCGGTTTACCCCACAGACTATGTTTGAAAAAAAATTATGTCTTTGAAAATATAATAATATTTTTATTAAATAACACGTACTCCCGATCTACAGGCCCTACTGTTCTCATATCATATAGGCTATAACTGATGTTCTACCAAAACAACAAGCTTTAAAACACTTTTTTTCTCACTGCTGAAAATGAGGTCTTTTACTGTGAGATCCGTTTTCTCTCTGGTAACGTTACATGATCACCAGTGTAAGCTTCATGGTGAAAACTTCTACATCACTCTCGTCAACGTAGTCCATAGTTACAATAAAAATGTATCTTAACTTTATCTTGTGGTTAGCTCTTAAAGGGGGTTGATCTCAGAAAGTACTACCGCTACAATGGCTCCCGGACCACCCCTCCCTGTGATGAAGCTGTGGTTTGGACCATCTTTAAGGACCCAATTAGGATCAGCAGAGATCTGGTACAGGCAAATTCATTTCCAATTGCAAATAATTCCACGACTTTGACCGAAGGACTTTTATGCATTATTACCAAGCCCTGACGGCATTGCTTACAAAGGCTGCATTTATTTGCTTAAAACTACAGTAAAAACAGTAATATGGTAACAGTCACATGATTCTTCGGAAATCATTCTA